AACAAACAGATTCATCTTGGAGAGGATTAAACCAAGTTACTCCTTGGAGGCAAGGATTCTGGGGCTTCGTCTGACATACTTTGGACATGTTGCCAGGAGGGAAGGGTCCTTGGATAGGGACATCATGCTTGGGAGGGTGGAGGGACAGCGCAGGAGGGGAAGACCCTCTATGAGATGGATTAATTCGGTGACTGGGGTAATCAAGATGGGTGTGTCAGAGGCGGTGCAGTTGGCACAGGATAGAGCAGGGTTTAGGGGTGTTTTGCATAGGGTCGCTATGAGTCGGAAACGATTCGACGGCACATAACAAGAACAACAACAACAACATATGGATAAGTATAGGTATAGGTATAGGTATAGGTATAGGTATAGGTATAGGTATAGGTATAGGTATAGGTATAGATACAAAATGTTTTATTACATTGCTTCTCTGACCAAGAATATAAAATATTAAATACATGATGAATAAAATAAATGAATGATAAATATTATGAAACATTAATTTAAAAACTTACAGGGCGTATTGCAACCTCATCAAATGCATATGTGTGATTTACTGAACATCCTTCATGAAGAGGCTGGAAAGGAATAATTTTCTGTGGACTTGTCCAACCTGAAAATATGACATGCTTTGAATTATGAAACAAATGAAGGCTTTTCATTTTTAATCAGAACTACTTACAAGTATAAGGGTAAACTATGTACTATTTACCAATTTTCCAATGTTGTAAATAAGGTTTTGTAACACCAGGATTCAGACCAGAATATCTGAGGTATTTATATATCAGGATAATTACAACAGTATAAAACTGTTTACTATTGAAAGATATTTGCTGGTCACTATGAATCTATGTAACATAGCGGTGATTCCAGGTGTGTCTGGTTATTATTCTAGTAGTAAGCTAGATATCTTGAGGGACTACTTACATGTTACACTGAGACCTTCCTGATTCATAGAGACCCTATAGATTTTCCTAATCTAGTCGGGAACAAAGAAGAAGATTCAGTAGTTGGAAAACATGTACTCAGTGCCAAAAATGGAGCTGGAGAGAGAATGATGGAATTTTGCACAATCAATGACTTATTCATAGCAAGTACATTTTTTAAGAGACATAAACGCAGGTTATATACCTGGATTTCACCTGATGGTATGCATAGGAATCAGATCGATTACATCTGTGGAAAGAATTGCCAGGGAAGCTCAATAT